CCAGAAGGTAGGTAGCCAGTCAGTAACACCAGAAGGTAGGTAGCCAGCCGATAACACCAGAAGGTAGATAGCCAGCTGACAACACCAGAAGGTAGGTAGCCAGCTGGTAACACCAGAAGATAGCAAGTCAGCCAGCCAGTATCACCCAAAGCCTCTGATGTTTTCAACCAAATAACGGGATTGATTCTTACTTTTAAAAACCCGCAGTATATTCAACGACTCACGTCTCGAATCTTGGAGCCTTCCATCCATCCACAACCCAGCACGCTATAATCACTAGGCCACGCCGAGCAAGAGTTGGGTACACTTCATGATAAATGTAATACGCGTATATTATAAACATTGAAAAATAAGGCGAAAACTGTCATAAAACTTCTGAAAATGTTGTTTACAAACACAGTTACTTGTTATTAACATAAAGCCACGCGATATGTCGAAATATAAAATACCTCAAATCTGATTAGAATATTGCACAGATCTTATTATATACCCCTATAAGTTCGCTATTTTACACACACATTCTGTTCCTTAAAGATAGTGCCGTACAAAGATAGAAAATAAAAGAAATAAGTTTATTAACGGCTTAGAACACAGCTTAGTTTATTCCTAACGTTTATTTTCATAATAAAAGACAAACAAAAAAAACTAAAGGCGCCCATCTTATTTTTCTCTACAATTCCCGCGATGAAAGCGGCAAATTTTACAAAGTCAGCCAAGACTGGAGCAAAAGAAAAAACTAATTCAATAACAAACGACAGTTATTTCCACCAGGGATTTTCCAATTTTCTGCCAGTTCAGCACGGGACTTTTTCCGTCACGATGGCAGGGATAAGAACCGATTAAGTTGCTTTAATGAGCAAGAAAACTGCCACTTAAGAAGAAAGGGTCGTACTGTGGAGAGCGAAATTCACGTAGGTTTTGTCGCCCCTAATGTCTCAAAACAGCTCCAACCTCATACTTGTAAGTGATGTTTTTATTTTTCTAAGTTTCAATCCAATATACGACAATTGATTTTTTTTTCTTTTAGATCCTGGACGAAAGATTATGATAAAAAAAAACCCTTATAGAAGATTTGGTAAACAAAAGGAAGACGTGGAAGATAAGTGGAAGATGAAAAGACGTGGAAGATGAAAAGAAAGATGTGAAAAATAAGAAAGACAGATGAGGAAGACAAAAGAAAAACTTGGGAGAAAAAAGAAAACTTGGAAGATGAAAGAAAGATGTGGAAGATAAGTGGAAGATGAAAAGAAAGATGTGAAAGATAAGAAAGACAGATGAGGAAGACAAAAGAAAAACTTGGGAGAAAAAAAGAAAACTTGGAAGATGAAAGAAAGATGTGGAAGATAAGTGGAAGATGAAAAGAAAGATGTTGAAGATAAGTGGAAGATGAAAAGAAAGATGTGAAAGATAAGAAAGACAGATGAGGAAGACAAAACTTGGGAGACTTGGAAGATGAAAGACAGATGAGGAAGACAAAATAAAGATTTAGAATAAAAAGAAAGATGTGGAAGATAAGAAAGACAGATGAGGAAGACAAAATAAAGATTTATAATAAAAAGAAAGATGTGGAAAATAAGTGGAAGATGAAAGAAAGATGTGGAAGACAAGTGGAAGATGAAAAGAAAGACGTGGAAGACAAGTGGAAGATGAAAAGAAAGATGTGGAAGATGAAAGCTCGTAGCAAGTAATCGTTCTTTCTTTCAAACTATTTTATCATCCCGATATAATATTTTCTTTATCGACTTGGCTTGACTTTCACTTATTTTGATAAAAAAACTTTAATTACAAGAACAAAGTTGTCTCTTTTAAATCATATTCTTAAATTTCTTTAACATGAACTAAATATCTTTCACACTAAGATAATAGAACCAATAAACTTCACATGCTTAAGAGCTCTTTGGAGCATGTGATTCGATTAAGCCTTTTCTGTTGTTATAAATCAACAGCTAAAACTCGGCCATGTCGCTCTTGTTGAGTAATGTTTATTTACACAACACGTGTACTCTTGACTACTTTAAAGTCACTGCACGTAACTGTAAAAAGAAAGATAAAAACTCGCCGGTGGTCCACAAGTAAGCTTAAGAGCTTATAATGCTAAAAATCACGATTTGATCCTTGCCCACTGTGCAGCTCCACGTTTACAAATAAACAAATAAAATAATATTTTTTTTTTACCCTAGAATAGGCTCTATGTTTTCTACTACACCGAATTTTTAATAAAGTTTGTTAGACTGTTTACGCATTTTTGCGCACAGCCGTCCCAATTCTGAGTTGACAGACTCAAGGGTAGGCAGATATCTAATTAACAGCACCCACTTCAACTCTTGGGCTACTCTTTTGAGACCGAAAAGTGGAATTTGACCGCACTTTTAAAACACATTCACAGCTCCAAACTGCGGAGCACCATTTTCTATTTGTCGCTAACTAACGTGAACCATGGGACATCAGGTCACAGTCTGAAGCGCTAACTAACGTGAACCATGGAACATCAGGTCACAGACTGAAGCGCTAACTAACGTGAACCATGGAACATCAGGTCACAATCTGGAGCGCTAACTAACGTGAACCATGGGACATCAGGTCCACAGTCTGGAGCGCTAACTAACGTGAACCATGGGACACCAGGTCCACAGTCTGGAGCGCTAACTAACGTGAACCATGGAACATCAGGTCCACAGACTGAAGCGCTAACTAACGTGAACCATGGGACATCAGATCCACAGTCTGGGACGCTAACTAACGTGAACCATGGAACATCAGGTCCACAGTCTGGAGCGCTAACTAACGTGAACCATGGGACACCAGGCCCACAGTCTGGGACGCTAACTAACGTGAACCATGGGACACCAGGTCACAGTCTGGGGTGCTAACTAACGTGAACCATGGAACATCAGGTCTACAGTTTGGGGTGCTAACTAACGTGAACCATGGGACACCAGGCCCACAGTCTGGGACGCTAACTAACGTGAACCATGGAACATCAGGTCACAGTCTGGGGCGCTAACTAACGTGTACCATGGAACATCAGGTCCACAGTCTGGGGCGCTAACAATTGGCCTTCCTCGGCCCAATATTTGTCAGAGGATCTGGTCTTGGAAATTGTTGTATTTATGAGGATATTTGGTCTTGGAAACTGTAATACTTGTTATATGATCTCGTATTGGAAACTGTTGTATTTTTCAAAAGATCTGGTCTTGGAAGCTGCAGGAATTGTTAGAATATCTGGTCTTGGAAGCTACAGGACTATTTAGAATATCTGGTCTTGGAAGCTACGGGAATTGTTAGAATATCTGGTCTTGGAAGCTTCGGGAATTGTTAGAATATCTGGTCTTGGAAGCTACAGGAATTGTTAGAATATCTGGTCTTGGAAGCTACAGGAATTGATAGAATATCTGGTCTTGGAAGCTACAGGAATTGTTAGAATATCTGGTCTTGGAAACTGTAGTAGTTGTCAGAATATCTGGTCTTGGAAGCTACGGGAATTGTTAGAATATCTGGTCTTGGAAGCTACAGGAATTGTTAGAATATCTGGTCTTGGAAGCTACAGGAATTGATAGAATATCTGGTCTTGGAAGCTACAGGAATTGTTAGAATATCTGGTCTTGGAAACTGTAGTAGTTGTCAGAATATCTGGTCTTGGAAGCTACGGGAATTGTTAGAATATCTGGTCTTGGAAGCTACAGGAATTGTTAGAATATCTGGTCTTGGAAACTGTAGTAGTTGTCAGAATATCTGGTCTTGGAAGCTACGGGAATTGTTAGAATATCTGGTCTTGGAAGCTACAGGAATTGTT